CGCCCGCCCTGGGCCGGGTGACGCCTGGTCCGCCCGCACCCGGGCCACAGCTGCTGGCGGGGCTCCCAGGACTCAGGCCGCTCGCTGTCCCTCCGACTGAACACTGTCCCTCCCCGGACACTGGCTGCCCCGCCTGCAGTCGGGCCCGCGGGAAGCCCCGGCGCGCGTGTAATTTTTCCGGAGCCCGAGGTCACGGGCGCCTTGCTGGCTGCAGGCGGGGTCTCCCCACAGCACCTGCGCCCCAGTCGCCGCGGCTCAGGGGCTCCTTCCCGCCGAGCGCGCCCCTGCCCGCGGCCCCTCGGGGGTACGCCCACGTCGGGCGGGGTCACGTGGCGGCGCCCCCCTCCGTCCTGCCGGGCGCAAATCCTCCCCCAACCCCGAGGAGGGCTCTCCCACCTCAGGACCATCTTCCCTGGGCCTGAGCCCCCTCGTGCTCACCGGGGGACCCCGGGAACAGGGGCGCCCTTGGAGGCATCGCCTACCACAGACGAAGCACCCACGTTTGGCCCAGGAGTTGGGTGCTGCAGGGGGTGTCGCAAAGGGGGCGTGGGGGTTTGGGTTGTCCGCCCCTCGTGGGTGCCCCGACTGAACGGAGAGCCCATCGGGAACAGCTGCCGCCCACAGACCACAGCAAGGGACTGACTTCGCCCCACAGCTGGAACCCGGGGGAGGCCAGGCCCCCAAAGGGCAAGGCCCATGGAGACATGGGTCCACCTCGCTGACACCAGCCTGTGGTCACCTGGACTTCGCCAGCCTCTCAGGGTCACTGTGCAGGGAGTGGGGGGTCAAGCTGAGGACAGCTCCATTCCCATGTGCATCCCGGGCCCTGGCAAAGGCTCAGCCCCAAAGCCCGAGGGTGCCCACCGCCTGAGACCCTCCTGGGCACTGGCAGCAGCTCCAGCCAGCAAGCCCAGCTGGTTTGGTGGGAGGATGGGTCCTTCCTCTCAGGGTTTCTGTCCATCGGGCTGAACACTCTGTCCCTCCCTGGCCACTGGCTGCACCTGCCCCTGTACCCTGCAGAGGAGCAAGAACAGAGCTGGGGGCTGGAGGAGGCAGGAGGACACAGCAATGGTGGGACCGCCCAGGAGGGGCTGCGGGGTCGGGGCTCCATCCCTGCACCCCACATGCAAACCCCATGGCCTCCCAGAGGACTCGCCTGCCGCACTCACCCAGCACCACTGCTCCCAGCCAGCCCAGAGGCAGGGAGGCTTGTCCTCGGGCCCAAGGGTGCTCTGGACCCAGTGCCCCTTGGGTCAGGGCTTAGGCACTGGAGGGAGGGACCCCCATCCTAGGACCATGGTCCAGCTGCTGCTCCCAGCGGGAGGCCAGGAACATCTCAGAAAGTGTTGGGCCCCTCTCAGCAGCAAGCAGGTAGGAGAGGGGGTGCTGGGGCTGTCTCAGGGGCAGGCTGGGGACCCCGCAGTTCCCTGCCCAGGAAATGTCAGCATCGTCACATACAAGTGCACTTTATTGAGTTCAGCTGCACATAGCTCTATTCTGTACAAAGTGCTGGGTACAGGGATGGGCCCCCAGGGCAGGGTTCACAGAGGGTAGGGGCACTTGGTCACATGCCCTAGGTGGGGACTAGTACCCCCTCTGCATTGCATGGAAGAATCCAGAGAGCACAAACACCAGAAGAACAATGANATAAACTTTATGGCCTTGTTTTCCAGGCTGGGTCACAGAATTTCCGGTTTCAAGGTCCTGCTAGGGGCTCTTGTAGAGTGAAACAGCAGAGGCCTTGGCTGATGACCTTTCAGGAGTGAACACTTGAGTTAATTATTAATCTGATTATAGATACCTTGACTCTCTTTGTCTTATTTTAAATTTAATTTTTAATTTTTTACAGGGCAGAGGTTGTCACAAGTGCATGTCTGACCAGCAGTGTCACTGCCACCACCTGGACCTTGGCACAGCTCCTGACCTCCTACCTCAGACCTACCAAATCTGAACCTCAGGCTACCCCCCCACTCCTGCTCCCACCCCAGCATCCGTTTTAAGAAATTGTCCAAATGATTCTGATGCCCAAGTTTGAGAACTCCTGACACAAAGAGATGTAAAATGCTTATGAGTAGATGGATTAAAATTGGGTCTTACTAGCCCTGGTAGACATTAAGTTTGGTGTCAGCCTGTGGTTGTTGCAGGGTGACGGCTGTCACTGTAGTGTTCTAGAACCACTTTCTGTCATGTGCACAGAACCTGAGTGACCATGTCACTTTGAGGAGCTGTTCACCTGAGGGCAGGTGAGCCCAAGGTGGTTCTGCCAAGTCTGCAATGTCTCCTCACCTCCAGTGTCTTCTCCAGCTTGGTCATAGAGCTCACAGAGAGCCAGGGTAGCTGTAACTAGGTGTCTTATTACAGCCATTTTCAAGTTTTTCTGAGACCTCAAAAGATTTTATTTTTTAATAGAAGAAACAGAGCCCAGCTGGTGGGGTTCAGTGGTTGAGCATCAGCCCATGAGCCAAGCAAGAAGTCAAGGTTGGATTCCCAGCCAGGGCACGTGCCTGGGTTTTGGGCTCCATCCCCAGTAGGGGGCGATGTACTGGGGGTGTTTCTCTC